GACTTAGCAGTATAACATTTCACTGTAGTGCTGTGTGAAAGTTTGCAAAAGGTGTGAAATCGTGATAAAAAACAATAAAATCTCCTTAAAATTTTAAAAACAAAGGAAATATTTTGCATTGGTGCGATACTTGCATATTCCAACAGAGCTGTCTGAGCCCAGTTTCCCTCCAAAGGCACTGATTAAATGACCGTTATTGGAGGAGAGCCTCTGAGCCCCAAAAGCGTGTGTGTGTGTGTGTGTGTGTTTGTGTGTGTGTGTGTGTGTGTGTGTGTGTGTGTGTGTGAGGAGGGGGCTAATCCGCCTTGTGTTGCTGTTGAGAGAGAAATTTCAAGGTCTTTGAGTGCCAGCGGAGCTAAGAGCCTAAGGTCACACACACACACTCACACACACACAGACTCAGGGGTCCCTCTTCTTTTCCGTCCTCTGCTCCTCTCCCTCCCCCTTCTCCTCGCTTTTCATTTCCTTTGTCTTTTCTCTCCCACTTTTTCCTCCCTCCCTCTCACCCCACGTTTCCCGTTTCTCTATTCTCTCACTGAACTCCCGCCACGATCACCTCCCCTCTTCCTTTAACTTCTGCTCCTGGTCTTTCCCACTGCCTCCATCCTGCTCCTCCTAATCTCCTCCAACCACATGCCCTCCAAAAGTTCTCAAATGACATTTTCTTTCAATTTTTTTTGCCCCTTTTTCCCCTTACACATCTCTGTCCATCCCCTCTACCAAAAGTAGAAAACCCTGGGCAGGCTCCTGGCGATCGCCTCGGACACAAGGGACCTGAACTTTGACCTTTACCCCTCCTCCCTTCATCCCCTGCCCCTCTTTTAGAACTTCATTCCTCTCCGTTCCTGCCCCACTTCTCCTTTCTTCGTAGTTGACTCACTCTCTTAACTTTATCCCAATTTCATGTAGCATGTATGCAAATGTGTTGTCACTTGATGGATGATGGATGGATGATTGTGAGCTTGACAACTCACTGCTGTCCTCAAGTGCTACTCGGTTGAAGCTGAGACCAAACTCTTTTATGCTCCAGACAAACAACAGCGATGAAACTGCTTGTTTGGTCTGACCGACCACTGCCAATCCCCAAAAAATCGTTTAGGGGATCTACTGCACTTTCCTGTATTTTGCGTCTTATATATAGTGTTACAATAAAGGACAAATAAACATACATCCTCAGCTTTCCTACCGTTTTTATCACTCTGTTTTTCCTACTTTGGCTACAGTATGATTTCACACTATGCCAGATTTCTTTATATGGTAATTTGCTTCAGGCAAGTGTTAACTTTACGTAGCTACATGCTAACGTCAGAGAATCATGTTATCTTGGTTGATGATGTTATAAATTTCTCCCCGATTTTGTATCATACTCCTGCTGGAACATGTCCGGTTGTGAGGAGATGCTTTTACTAGTGATTATTCACTGTAGAAAGTGACGCTATTCTCCGGTACAGTCATTCTCAGGCTGCAATGCCGGTGCAGACGCCTAGACATGAACCAATCAGAGCACACTGGGCTTTTTCAGAAAGGGGGCACAAAGAGGCTGGCACTAAACGGAACGTTTCAGACAGAGGGTGAATACAGGTGTTCCAGGACAGAAACATGTTCTAGTAGAAACCTTAAATACAAGTATGAACCTGTGATGAGCATATTAAGTCAACTTTAAATCCGAGAAGCTGAGGGATGATGGTTTCATCCCAAATCTGATTCACCCCCTTCACCATTTCATGAGCCACAAAGATGCAGGTAATATTAGGTCAAGATGAAACTGATCCCAAACATTGCTCCTTCTCCATTTTCTCTCATTCCAGGAGACCTGCGTCAGCCTCTTCTTGCCCATCCATCATCTCCCGTCCAGCCTAAAGAGGCCCCTCAAGATAAGCTACTGAGTGACCTTCCTCCTCTTTCTCCGCACTCCCTCTATCTGTTCATCAATCTATTCCTTCACTAGAGCTTAAGCAAACAATCTGGTCAGTCTCCCTCCTTATTCCTCTTCCTCTGTTTCCATCCATCTATAAATTCTTAAAGGGAAACAGAGGTTAACCTGCTTTGGATCAGGTGCCAAAAAATGTAAAGACATAACCCCCGAATCTCCCTCTGAAACACACAAAGACAAGACTTTAAACATATGCGCATTACAGCGAGTCACAGGGATGGACAGACACTCACACACACCTATATGAACACACGTTTGCACGTATAGAAAACTGACAAGTTCCAGATGATCCCGACTCCCACAGATCTCTAGTTCCCATGCCCACCCAGTGAGTGAATGTGATTGGTTATTACGTGTGCATCTGTGTGTGTGTGTGTGTGTGTGTGTGTGTAACTTTACTCCCACCATTCTGCCACATGTCAGCAGTTGCTCAGTCATCTTTGACACACACACACACACATTCACAGGATTACAGCCCAGGCTCTGTAGAAAAGTACTTGTCTCTGCATGCATATAGCCGAGTCACCGCAGGCCTTCAATGCCCTTATATAACACGCGCAGTATACGATGTTTAATGGGACTTTTCATTCTTGTAATCCAGGGCGTATTGAGTAACACGCTTGTATTAAATCACTCATGTATCAGCCAGCTTATCCTCTGATTATTTAACCATATCACAACCTTTTTAAATCAACATCAAAATCAATCTGAGGTCTGAATCTGACCCAATAAAGACCCAGATCAGTGTCGAGAATCACTCGGGTTCCTCTTTCTGATGAGCAAGAAGGACAGAAAGAGAAAGGACGAGGCAGGGAGAGAGCTGGACAGAGGTTAGCAGTTGTTTTCTCATAAACACGCCGGCGTTTCCTTGACACGGGGCATCAAGCGAAGCTGATTTTAGCTCCTGGGATTCAGGAGGACTCGAGGAGCATCTTGTGATGGAGATGACAGGAAAACAACTCTGCAGCCCCACAGGAAATAATCGCACACTGAGAGACACAAACAGATTTGCACAGAAAGCAACTGCTTACACAGTCTCACCTCGTTTGACTTTTATCGATAGTAGGTTGGAAAGATGGAGCAGGGACCAAAAACTAGCCTCAGCTACCCTTGCCTTTCAGTTCACAAGGGAAATATATCATCTTATCTGCTTGATTTCTGACGTATTACAGATTATCCTCAGTATGTGGCTAATTGTGTTATCCCCTCTGCCTCATATTTCCTGTCATTCTGTGAAAAGAAAACTGCCAAATAAAAGATAAAAAGTAAAAATTGAATCTTGTGAATTTGTTTTTCTGGCGCAGCACCAAGTGTTTCATCAGGGCAAGCAGTTCCACATGAGTCCATGTCACTGTTTTCTTCCTCCACTAAAACCTCAGCTCAGTCAGTGCCCCGAGTGTCATATGACTGACTGTTATTCTACATCTCCAACTACTGAACGCACCGTCTCTGTGAGTGCTTGTCAATAAGGCGAGCTGCAAAGACGCTCTCTCACCTTTCCCAACAACACCTATCTAACTCCTACTCACGTCTCTTGCTCGCACTTTTTAACCCTCGATCGCTCCGAGACACTCGCACACTCACTGCAGAAGTTGCATCAGTGCACCGTAATGTAGCAACAGCATCCTGTGGTGAACTGTGTGCCATCCTGTCTCATGTTTCACACAGTGTGCAAGATGCAGCCTTTGTTAGCTTTTGTGTAGCTACAGACTGAGAGCTGCTGTCCTGTGTCACCAGTCTAGTTATAACCACAGAGACACCAAACTGGAGCAACTAGGGAAGTGATCTGCCCTGCTCAAGGTCACTTTAACTGGGACAAGTGGGTGAGAGATTCACCAGTGTTGCTTATTCACTTTCAGTACCCTGAATTTCCCAGACAGTCTGGGGATTTTGACAAGGAAGTCTCCTCTTACAAGTTAACTTCTCTACCCTTTAGGACACACTGTCCTGCAAATTCATCCTACATTCTAAAGATATCACGTTGCAACAGCACATCAGGAAATCAAACCTGCAGATTCACACTTATTTATCATGCCTTTAATGTTCAACATCCTCTCCTTCATTTAATAGTCATTTATGCAACTCATGGTAGCGGTAGCCAGTTGCACCACAGCATCCGTTCACATACACTTCAAAAAAATCAACAGTTAATACCAGAGACTGTGAGCAGGTGAACTGCAGGGATGTGGCAATGAAAAAAACAAAAATGTGAGTAATAACAAAAGTCTGAGCCACAGTGACACACAAGAGTTGCACCATACCTCCTTAGTTTGCCAGATTGTTCTGTCAATCCTGCAAAATCACAGTGACCAAAACTCACAACTGTGTTTTAACATTTTACGTATTTGGCCAAGGAGCTGCTAAAGGTACAGGTCAATATTGTAAAAACACAACGACAAGCCAACCAAATATTTTCCAGACATGGAATCCATTACTCACGGGCAAAAATAACAGTCTGAGCATCTTTGGGAAACAAATATGACAGCTATTGTGATGTCAGTGTAACACGGCATCACATCCACATACAGTGAAATACAACCTCAACTCAACACAACCAAAAAGGGAAATGTGCAGTTAAACTCAACTTAAAAGTGAGACAAATTGTTGCAAACCAAAGCTCTGAGCATGAGCAACCTTGTTGGTGCTTCAAATAACAGACAACCATCTTGTTTATAGGAAACATCCAAATGAAATGTTTCCCCTCTGTTGCACTTTGCTGCCTGCTGGTAGGACGTCAGCCCTTCTACACTAGTCATGCTTTTGTTGAAATGCAGCAAAAATCAAAACATCAACTTCATCCAGGACGTAATCTGCACCAGTATCGCAATCTCAATCAGATTGTGATCTCGTGTCTACAGATAGCATCTGGGCGCACAGGAAGTTCTCACATATCACAAAGGTAAAAATAGGACGTGCGAGAAATAATACAAAGAAGTTAAATTCAGCACCTGCTGGGGTGGAATTAAGACACTTCAGGGACGTAATGACATTTAATTAAAGCCAGAAAATCAGTAGGAGACAGAGCATAGATGCTGAAGAGGTGACAGCTTTATGAGTCTGGACTCACCTGGAGTTCACACCACGCCACCTCCACAGTAGTCTCTGTATCCAGGCCCTTGTACACGGTCTTAAACGACCCTCTTCCGATCTCGATGTCGAATTTTAGGAAGCGCCCATCCGGTGAAGTCCCCACAGCTTTTGTCTCCACCTCCTCTATATCCTCTTGTACTCGTTTCTCGGCCTCCCTCTGCTCCGCCCGTGCTTTGGCGAGCCCCTTCTCCTCCTCCGTCTCCTTCTCTTTCTCCTCGGTCGGACTGCTCACATGTTCTGTCGCTTTCCCGTCTTTTGCTACCTGTTGTGTGTCCTCCGACCCTCTGGGACGCAATGTGACGTCAGGCTGTTTGCCTGCTGTTTTCTCAGTAACATCCAATACTGTCGGGCTGGGCTCTTTTACCGCCCCCTCTGTGCTCTGTTCTTTAACAATACTGCTGGTGGGAACAGGAACTGTGATACTGCTCTCACTAAAAACTTCCTCAGCATCTTCTATCTGCGCCTCTGCAACTGCCCCAACGAGCCCAAGACCAGGTTGAAGGGCCAAGCCTTGCACGTAGGGACCTCTCTGGACCTCCCCACCTTCAACTTCGCAAACCCCAGGTCCAGGACCTGAGGGTTGTGGAGGGAAGAAGGTGGGAGGCCCTTCACAGTCCGGTGGTGAGGTGAGTATCACAGCTGCTTTGCTGGGCAGGTCCAGAGCTGTGGCGTTGGAGTCACAGATGACACTCCGGCGGAAGAAACGGTGCTCAGCTATTTTTGAGTCTCTATCCATGGTGTGGCGCCGACGTTGGACCTCTGGGTGTCCGCTGAGCTTCTCCACCACATGCGAGTCTGAACTAGCAGAGCCGTTCACATTCTTATGGGGGGTCTGGGGTGATGGACAGGGGGAAGCAGAGGGAGGAGGGGGGGTCGGGGCAATGAATTTCACTGCTTTGCTGTTGCTTTCAGACATTCTTCCACGAGGCTTAGACCACAACAAAGGAATTCTGTACGTATAAATAAGGACTTATTTTATCTGAGTAATCACACCAACCTATGTGTACAAGACAAATATCTACTAGCAGGCTCTTTTTTTTCAAATGAAAGCCCTATAACCTCAGATGAACTCCAGGAAAAAAAAAAGGGATGGGTAACTCTACTTTCGCTTCGCAATGTCAAGTGCTTCAACAAGACAACCAGGAGTTCCTACAAGGCCCTTCTGTGCAGGGCTCAGGGAAGCCCCAGGAAAGAGGCAGGGGCTTTTGCTTAAAGATTGGGGAGGGAAGGGATGAAAGCCAGTGAAAGGAGGGGGGGTGCAAGCACTGCAATGTGGTGACAACCGTCAAATTAACACCCGAATCCATCCTGTTGCCAACATCCAGAGAGGGACATCCACGACATGGAAGGACTGGAGATATAACAGACCAGCGTGGCCTCCCAAAGGCTGATAAAGGAAAATATGATTGGAATCCAATCTGTTACAGCTCGATTTGGAGGTCTGGTGAAGTTTCTGTAAGAGAAGGCGCCTCTGCTCGCTGAAGATAGGACTCCCCTGGAGAGGTCGCTGGCCTGTCTGGTAAGGCCAGACAGAGGGCTAGGTAGGCCTAGCCTGGCCTAGCCTGGCCTAGCTTGATCTGCTTCGGTCCTTGTCACTGGAAATAAAAAGAGAGAAGGGAGAGACCTGTAAGATGAAACTATATTTTCTTTAAATATCTGACCATAAATCACAAAATTCACCATCTGCTTTCACTTGACATTTGAACCAGCTAACATCAAGGGACCCCCGAATGATACCCCCTGCCAAAGTGGCTGGTAGCACATCCAAGCTGCCAGATACTGTAACATTTTACCAGCGTTTGGCCAGTGATCAGCGGGATGAATGACAGAGGCAGGGTGGGGAATAAAAATCAGCCAAATGCTGCCACGATTTTGGGTGCAGTTAACACATCTGTCAGCTCCTCCAACCCCGAAGCAGAGATCATATCCTCATTTGGATGTTCTTTTCCAAAACAATTTGGGAAGGACTGAAATAGTGAAACTAAAGAAGTAGAGTTTCATGCACCAAAAAAGAGAGGATTCACATTCATTAAAGGGCTTTCTGAGGCAAGTCATTATTCTAGATTTCACTGTTAGAGGATTTTGCCAGACTTTGGGCACCCAAAAAACTACCGCAACCAGCTGAAACTTCTCCCATTTGCCAAGCAGGTTTCCTTGAGTGTTTTGTCGAGACTTTTGCCAGGAGCCTAATTATCTGCAGAGGTCTCTTCCTCTCAAAAACAAACGGACCTGCTCATTAAAACAGATAAAAAAATCACTGACTAAAGCAGTTTCATGTTAAGAGAATCAGTGTTTTTACGATGCTGCGTGTCACAGACATGCCGCTAGCCCAGCATCTGCTAATGTGTGCTCACCTTTTGTCACTGATAACTGGAGATCCAGACGTTCAGGAGATTTTATTAGGCTCAAATGACCCCTATGATTTAAAGCGGTAAAAGCACTTAATAAAGTAGCTTGACATTTGAAAAAATATGTGTTATTCTAGTCACAGAGGAGCAGTGGCCAGCACAAAATAGCAAAAACATGAATGCCCCTATATAGAGCCAGTATTAGGTTTGTCTGTTCTGGGCTACTGTAGAAACATGGCAGACTCTGCGGATGAAGACCTGCTCCCTGTGTAGATAAAAACGCTTTATCCTAAGGTAACAAAAACATGTCGATTCTTATTTTCAGGTGATTATACACCAAAGAAAATTATAGTACATGCCATTTCCAATATAGCTCCCTAAATCCTACACACTGGACCTTTAATCTTCAATTCAAGCTCATTAACGAGAGACAGAGCTGCATCCCACCCCAACCTTTCCCCCCCAAATTGCCCCTGTGTAATTAATGCAGGGGAGTGATGCAGCAGAGTGAGCTTCTAATTGCTCCATGCTCCAAATTTAGCCCAAAGTCACCACTACTGCGCTGACCTCGAGGTTAGGCTTCTCTGTGGCAATTCAGCAGCTTAGCATGACAGCGGAGAGGAGGCACTCAGAGCGACAGAGACAGAACCACAGAAATGAACAAGTGTATGACTCTGTCATGATTAACTAAAAAGGTCCAGTGTGTAGGATTTAGGAGGATATATTGGCTGAAATGGAATATATTAGGTATATTTTATTTAGTGTGTAATCACCTGGAAATAAGAATCACCGTGTTTTCGTTACCTTAGAATGAGACATTAATATCTACATAAGGAGTGGGTCCTTGCCATGGAGTTGGCCATGTTGCACTGCCATGTTTCTACAGTAACCCAGAACGGACAAACCAAACACTGGCTCTATAAAGGGATGTTCACATTTTGGTGACTGCTACCGCAGTTCGCTGCCCCACTGCAAAGAGCCAAACATTGTTGAAAAAAAGACTGATTATTTAAACGTGAAACTGCTTTATTCAGTGTTTCAACCGGTTTAAATCACCAGGTCTGTTTATTTTGGAGAGGAAGAGACCTCTGCGGATAATTCGGCTCCCGGTAACAACCTCCTGAACGCTGAAGCAATCCTAACCATGAGTTCACGCTTGGTACACAGGAAAAGTTTTAGCTGACTGAAAATTGCTACATCCTACACACTGCTCCTTTAAATTTGTTCCCTATGAATGGAGATTTAAACGGCACTAAGTGACTCTGCACAGATTATAACTGTGTCTGTGAACTGCAATAACCAATTACACATGCGTCAACCCAGATGGTGTATAACTGCTTTATATCTCATAATCAGAACCAAAAGGATCATACATTAAAGAGTCAAATTTTTCTGCAAATACAGAAAATGACACATGCTATTGTTCAGATAATACTTTTAAATCTCACTGGGTTAAATTCATCCTGAAGGTTTCATTTGGTCCCCCCAGGCTACTGTATAGTGTCTCAATTAAGGGAAGTGGGTGAAGGGTTAGCACTAAGGAGGTCACACTGCCTTAAAGCCACCAGGTGCAATTTACCCTGTTTGGCTTTATATGGTGTTTTAGTATGTGTAGTATGATGTGTGATGAACCGGTTTTAGATTGCTCCTGAGGTTATCCCTGTTTGGCATTTAATAGTACCTGTCTGTTCCAGGGGTTAAGAGAAGTCATTCACTCAACTGTTTGCTGCAGGTGGAAAATCATGTGCCCTTTTGTTGTTGTGATTAAGACATGTAGCTGATTTAAGAAGTGAGCTATAAGAAGATGTTTTTATGGTGATCTCACAACAGCTAGGGGGTGTTGTGAGGTGCAGCTCCTCTCCCTTACAGAGTGTGACGTAAGTGCAGCAAGAAAAAACAACCAAAACAGTGAATTAAAGTTTCATTTAAAAACTTATAATAACAACAGTAATAGCCTGGTATAATTTGAAGGTAAAGTATGCAACATTATTATTTAAATTACCATGAATGTTGACCGATTTTCCCATGGCAGGTCGGTGTACATAGCTATCACAGGTGTGCTGCTTGGACCAATCAGAGTTGTGCTTTTATAGCTAAATTTTAACCCCGGGGCACCCACGAGCTCACCTGGTAGAGCAGGCGCCCCACATATGACAAATCCAAACCATGGCCCTTTGCTGCATGTCATCCTCAACCTCTCCCCCCTTCACACTAAGTCTGTCCTGTCCAATAAAGACGAAATAGCCCCAAAAATATAATTTTATTCCTTACTGGAAAGAAAAACAGGTTTTACTGATACCTTATGTTTACAAGTGTCAGTTCCTCTGTTTACAAAATGCAAAATATAATGCGCAAACATTCAAGCATGGCCAAAACTGGATGGTCAAGTAACTTTTCAGATATAAATAGATGGCTAGTGTTAAAAATATTAAAATTAGCATTAAATTATGTAAGGAATAATATCCTTATTTCTAATTTAAATATCTTTCATGGGTTTTTTTTTTTTTTGCCTCATTTGTTTTTGGATATGAATCTTTTTCCTTTACTTTTATATAATTTTATTCTGTTTTGAAGAGAAACATTGGTTTTACAGATACTTTACTTTGCAGGTGTCATTTCCCTGTGTTAACAAAATGCAAAATATAATGTACAAACATTCAAGCATGGCCAAAACTGGATGGTCAAACTAACTTTTTTGGCTAATGTTTAAAAAAATATTAGAATTATCATTGAATTATGTAAGTAATAGTATCCCTATATCTAATTCAACATTTTTTTTGCCTCTTATTTATCTATTTATTTTGGATATGTAGCTTTGTCCTTTTACTTTTACGTTTTAAAATAATCAATAAATGATCTTTTTGACAGATTTTTGGAATTGCACTGTAATCTGAGCATCTGTTAATAAAAACAAAATCTTGTATCCTCATATCTAATATATTTATTTTCCTCTTTTTAAAACAGTAAATAAATAATAAATAATCTTTTTGACACATTTGTGGCATTGCTTCTGCACTGTAATCTGAGCATCTGTTAATAAAAACAAATCTTTGCAAAGAAAAAAAAAAAAGAATTCAAATTAAATATTGAGGGATATGTTATCAGCAGCACATCAGCGGTGAAAGCCAACAATTAAATGGATTCCATTCGTTAAGCTCGGCTCATTAAAACTTAATGAAGAAAAGGTGTTCATCCTGTTAAAGTGAGCACAGGAGCAATTAAAGAGGCATGAGAGTCGTTAACGCTCACTGCTGATATGGGCTAAGTTGTCACAAAATGTACATTTAAGTTATGTGACATTGCGAATCTTAAAATAAATATGTGTGCAATTGACTGTGCTGTAAAGAGTGCAAAGCAATGCAAAGTGTCCTGCACAGTGGGCTTTGAAGGCAACCTGAGCAGCAGACCGTGCACTGAGGGCTCCGCTGCTGCCTGTTGAGGAACTCAAACGAGGCTATGCAGCTAACTTTGCCCACAGGCAACAACCAGACACAAGCAATAACCAGTCACGATTTGTACAAAGCGTTATAATAAAACAACAAATGCTCCGTTACCTCTTACATTGGTGTGGGCTGTGTTGGCACTGCAGAAATATGGAGGTAAAAACTTGATTTAAAAGCCTGTAACTCCTCTGCAGAGGGGGTCCGCTCCGACAGCACCACAAATGTCAGTATAGTGCGTCACATTAAAGCCACAGTTGGTTGCCGAAAACCCCGAGAAAAAAAGAAAGAAGCTATTTACAGAAACATAACTTAGCTAGGCTACAACCGTGTCCGAACAGCGAGGCGGTATGTGAGCAGCAGCCGACAGACAGACACCTCCCACCGGGCAGAGAAGCCAAGTTCGCTCGCTGGTGTCGCGGCGGTTCTGGTACTTCTCCTCTGTCTGTCTCCGTGCTGTCTGTGTCCGGGTCTGCAACCGCGACCGAAGCGGCAACGGTCTCACTCAAAGATGCTGTATCCACATCCGCGTCAACATCCAGTCCGTGTCCGTGACCGCCGTGTCGCTCCTCTTGGCTTGTGTGGCGCAATAAACCCGCCGTGATCCACAGTTATTCCCCGTTTTCAAGCCATAGGACGGCGGCTCCGTCTGCTCGCTGCTCTGCTCTGGCGATGACTCGACAAGGCGACGGCAGATCCTTCACACAAACGTTGCTCGTGTCAATGTAGCCAGCGGTAACCCGGGTGATACCGGAAGTGAGGCGTCCTATCAAAGTAAAACAAAAATCTCATCTATCATTCATGGAAGGAAATTATGAGATTTTTTGGGAAATAGTGGCTTAGATAGTGGCACATTTCATACACAAGGGCAATTCAAAGTGCTTTATAGAGTATTCAAAATATAAAACATACTACAGGATACAGAAAAAAGTAAAAGGAAAAACAAAGCTATAAAAGGTCAAATTAATTACTAAATGATTTACTTTTTTTTTTAAATCACCATTAAAAATGTAAAAGTGCAGACTAGAGGTGCAAAGATAAACAGACTATTTAACCCTTTGAAACTTTCTTTCAAAAACATGAAAAGAAGGCAATGAAAACAGGAAATTACCTGAAAAAATAAAATAGCTAAAATAAAATAAGATTAAATTAAATTTAATTAAATGTATAATTATAACAATTATAAATATATAATGATAATAATTATGAATGTCATTTTGTGGGGCATTTTTCCCTAGTTTTTCTTTCTTTCTTTTCTCATAATTTCTAATTTCTTTCTGGCATTCACAGTAATTTCTTGTAATTAGATAGATAGATAGATAGATAGATAGATAGATAGATAGATAGATAGATATACTTTATTTAATCCCCAGGGGGGGAATTTAAAATGTCCTCAGCAGCAGGGGGAAATTTGCAGGACATGTTATGCCAAATTTTAGAAATCAAACCAATTTACTCAGGTATCAAAGGAATAAATACTTGTGAAATGTGTCTGTAAGCAGCACAACAAAAGTGATGTCGCTCCAGGTTTCATAGGGTTGAAATTATTTAAAGCTGAGTTTTGACATAAGGTTACAGTCACTACAGGTACAGTAGGCAGTGTAAAAAAAAAAAGTTCTTAGCTTTGACTTTAAAGTGGTCAGAGTCGGGGTTCGTCTAACATCATCTGGGAGGCTATTCCAGGTTTGTGCTGCGTGATAACAAAACACTGCTTCACCATGTTTTGTTCTGACTCTTGGGACATTCAATACCACCCCAGGTGTCCTCAGGATCCTACAAGGTTCATATGTCACAAACATGTCAGAGATGTATGTGGGCGCCAAGCCACAGAGTGATTTACACACAAGCAGCAAGATTTTGAAATCAATTCTCTGAGTGACAAGTACCCAATGTAAGGATTTGAGAACTGGAGTAATGTGGTCATCCTCTCATTAAAATTGTTCTAGGCTGCTAAAAAATGCGAATCATCTGCTTCTCTCTTTGAAAATATCAACTTCTATCAATCTTAAATTTTAACACATAGCCTACCAGACATATTCTGGCGTATGACGTATTCATGTATGAATATGTACATCTTACTCATGGCTTTTATAAGTCTTCCTCAGACATTGACTCATATTCCACAAGACACTCTAAGGATCTTTATTTTCCATATTGTTGACATCAATATTCACTGAAATACAAAGGACCATCATTTTTGAACAACTTACTTCCATCTCTACAATCATCATCTACATTATTGTTATTCAAAAAACACCTGAAAAGGACTAAATGTATTAAGTTCACAATTGTACTCCAGTACAGTACTCTAAATGTACTCAGTTAATTTCCACCACTTGGAACAACCAAAAATTAAGTTACATAAACCAGTCTAAACGTGTTTAATCTAGTGAACAGTGCTATTGTTGAATACATAATCCCATTTTTTTTCATATTATGTGAGTGAGTGTTTAAGTACATCCTGCAGCTCTCACGCCACTTACTCGTGCCACACCCCCTGTTTGTGTGTGTCCTGTGTTATTATTTCATGGAGGACAGCAGAGGCAGCAGTCTGCATCTGTTTGATCCAGCACACATCCAGCTGTGCCCCTGCTGCGTCCAACAAACAGAGCTGAGGAAGGAGAGGAAGCGCCTCTCACCTTTTTTGTTTTTTTGTTTTTGGTTCTGTTAACAACAATTATAGAGTTAATATGGATATGCCATTTTAGTGTTTTTATCATTATTATTATTATTATTATTATTATTATTATTTAGTTTTGCCACAACAGTACGAGAGTTATGGCCATTTTAGTGTTTTTATTTATTTATTGCTACAACAGTTTTAGTGGATTTTTTAAAACCTTTTTTAAGGTTGAGTAAAAGGTTGTTTTAATTTAAAAAAAAAAAAAAACATTACACATTGTTCAATCTGGTCCATTTATGACTTTTAAAACCCAGGAGGAGAAATTATTGGTCTGCAACACATTCATTAATGATAATCTTATGTTGACAGGTCAAACCGGAAGTAGTATTATTTCCTCTGGTGACTTTGACAGAATCTTGCAACCAGAGGCAAACTCCAGTATCCTCCTGAGCCAGTCAACAGCTGCAGTATGAACCAACACACTCATGCTTTTATTTTATGTCTTGGTCATGTTGGACGCAACCACAGTCAAACTGCCTGACTGATGCTACTGACCTCGTGTGTGTTCGCTCTTTCAGTGTGTGTGTGTCACTTGCTCACTCTCTGACGCCCTCATCATTACCTGTAGTGTCAGACAAGCTCTTGACTCCTCATGTAAGATATGATATGCCTACAATATTCATGTACTTAGTATGTTACACAGCCCTAAAGTGCTATATGTCTCAATATTGTATCACTCTAGTTTATTACAGATTATAATATGATATCATAAGGAGCTGATTTAATTCATTTATAATATTCTTTTTAGCTTGGGTCAAAAGGTTAAAGTCCGTGCACATGAGAATGTCACCACAGTTAAGAATCTGACATTTCACCTGCCTATCAGATCTCCACACCCTGATACTGAGCTGCAGCACCTCTGGCAAGAATAATCAAAACAGGATAATGATTTCAACCTGCTCATCAGTCTCCCTCCTTCTAAAAAAGGAGGGAGAGGTCGCTAGTGTTCATTTTTCTCTGTGGGACTTCCTGTTTGTATTTGACAGCAGGGGTTCAAACTATTTAGAGGGTGACTTTGGTATTTTTAAATGTGGACACTGTTTTCCCATGTTTGTGTGTCTAAATGACTAATGGAGACGGCTATTTTTAAAAATCGGTCCAGCATTGATCGAAAGCGCTGCAGCTGTGAAACAGGCTGCAATGTAACATTAATGGGTATAAACAAAGGTATTTTAACCAAAATCATTATCTTTTTTCTAAACCCACATTTTGGTGCAGCTGTGACCATTTCACAACGTTAACCATGTATTTGAAACTATGACCGTTAAAGGGTCACTTCTGTGTTTTTTTAACTTGGACCCTTTTTTCACATGTTTTTGTGTCTAAGTGACTAATGGTAACGACAGTTTTTAAAACTGGTCCAGTACTGAGTGAGAGCAGCAGCAAAACAAGCTGCAATGTAACCACCTGGGGCAATTATGCACTGTTCATTTACATCCACAAAAGGTGCTTGTTTTGCAACTGAAAGGTTCAGATTGCTATTGTAAGAGTCTGACAACATTAAGGAAATGATCCCTACAGAGATAGACCATTTTGTTAAAGAGTAGGATCCCTTTTGTTTGACCAGAAACAGCCTCGAAATCGTCGTTGTCAAACCCACCAGACTCCATTTAAAAAAACTGTAATTTTATCTTCTATCAAAGTTGACAGAAACAAAACAACAACAACAAAAAAACCTCACAAAAACCATCTTGGTTCATCTTTCACACCATTCCAACAATCACCAGCTCTGGTTTGATTAAAATAAATCCTTAATTTACTCAGCTAAATGTGAAAATGTGCTGACTCTATTCACAATTAAACTACTGTTTTTCAAAATGGAGTCTGGTGGGTTTGCCAATAGAGACTCGAGGCTGTTTCTGGTTTTTTAAAAAAATGATTTTACTCTTTAATAAAAAGGTTAATCCCTGTAAGACCCTTTCCATATGCTGTAAGACACATATAATAACAACCTGAGCCTGTCAGTGGCAAAAATAAGCATTTTAAATTGACATATATTGACTGTGCGCTCATGCCCCAAGTAGTTACATTGCAGCCTGTTTTGCCGCTGCTGGCTGCAGCTCTCTTGCTCCATACTGTATTTAAAAAATGTTGTTCTCATTAGTCATTTAGATGCAAAAACATGGGAACATAGGGTCCAGGTTGAAAAATACCCTTAAGTTACCCTTTAACATAAAGGCCCTTGAAAAGAACAAACAGCAAAGACGGATCCCCTGATTAGAGCATAACATTTTCTCACTGAGTCACCTCAAAGAAATAAAACTATTGCATTAAAGAGCACCCTGTCTGAGACCTCTATCAGGAATTCAACCTTTTAAGTGATCAGTTTTTAAAAAGTTCATTAGTTTTTCATTTAGCAAAATTAAAGTGGGTCTTAAATTCAGAGGTTGTTCTCTCAAAGTCATGACTTGTAATTATCCTTTTTGTTTAGATTGATGACTAATTTTTCGTGAAATGGTGAGCACTTCAACGTTTACTTCAGCTTGCTCCATAGCCTTTTTGATGTGACAAAACTTTGCAACTCTACGAATTAAGAGCCATACTTCACAGCTGATATCTCCTCCAGATACTCGTGCAAATGTTCTTTCACAAAAGTAACCATTGTGGAAAAAAAACATAAAAATCCCCTCTGTCCTACAGGCTGTAAACCTCACTGACAAATGTATACAGTCATCGTCGTATCTAATCAAATACAGCTGTTATCTCAGCCTCCACTGTTAATAGCATGATAATTTGCTCAGTATTGCCGCTACGCAATCAGCAAACACTCCTGCAACGATAAAGAGTTGGTATGAATGTTTTCGACTCTCAGATACTCCAGTATTTGTTAACCAGTGGGAGGGGACGCAAACTGGGTCATGGACTTGTTGTTTTGGATCTTCACATGACCACAGTTTAATATTAGCTTGAGTGTTTTTGTACAGAGCGATTCATTCAATTAGGGTTTTAATTCCTGACCTGAAAAAAGAGTACAATGTGTGTGTGTGTTTGTTTGTGTGTGTGTGGAG